TTACCAGTGATAAGTTGTTCTGGATGAAACAACTGTCTGTATGTGCCAGTGCGGACCTCATCTGTGGACATAGAACACTGGTTATACTACTTTCAAAATTTCGTATTTTCCTTGACACATGGTTTTTTAAAATTTTTGTTTTAGCAGTTTCAGAGCACCATTCGTACTGGTTAATTATACTTTCAGCTTGATACATACCTACTACTGTAGGTTCCAAGTCCACAAACACGGCACGGGGCACATGCTTGCCAGCTCCAGTCTCGCTGAAGAAGGTGTTGAAGGAATCATCTCCACCACCGATTGTCTTGTCTGTTGGCATCTGGCCATCAGGCTGAATGCCATGCTCAAGGCAGTACAGTTCCCAGCAGGCATTTCCAATCTGGACTCCAGCCTGGCCAACGTGGATAGAGATGCACTCACGCTGTGGAACAAAGGAAAATATACCATTATTGACTTATACTACACTGCTATAATTCTATTGTTACCATGCAGTATTGTTATTTGGTTTACATAACATATTGTTGGTTTATGGATGATCGATCTCACACAAACTTATTGGAATTTGAAGGTTGTATACATTTATTATACATAACAATATGTTGTTTAATAAGCAGGCAACAGAACTGTTATAAACCGACAGATAAAGTCAATAAGTACCAAAACAGATTTTTTTATGATACAGAGTGGTGGTAAGCGTCACGTGTGTCCATAACAATTGCAGTGCCGCCCAGAGCTTTAAATTACAAAGACATAAGGGGCACTGCCACTGCAACTGTCACTCTGCGACATAAGTTGAAAAGTCTGTGTGCCTGTAATTTTTACCAGTACCTTTAACCTTCGAAACCGGAATGCTGTAATGCTCACAGTACTGCTTGATAAACTCAGCAAGAATATTTCACAAAACAGGTTTCTATCAGAAAGCTAAGAGTTGGTTAAATGCCAAGATTTTGTCCTTTTCCCTAATGTTGTTTTAATTATTATTTATATTTAATTAGTGCTTGTAGTGAAAGTTTTTAATGTAAAGACATTGCTGTTGAATAAAGTATTTGTTTATGTTCTTATAAAAAAGTTATATAATATCTACGTAATATACCTATATCTTATCTTATAAAATAATCTTATCTCGTGTCGTTGAAGTTATATCACGATGTATTAAGTCCTCTGGAGAAGTGTACGTAAGTAACCAAATCCTATATGTTAATTTGCGAAAAAATAATTTATTTACACACATTAATTGTAACAAAAATTTAAATTTAGAAGTTTTTATTTCGCACAAAATGTTACAATAATTACATACATACAATGTAATATTTATTAGAATTCTCTCGTTTGGTGAGTGCATTTCAAATAAAAAAGTAATTTCTTATTATAAATTACTTCGTGGCTAATGTAGGCAACGATCTTTTTATGGATGAAATTTAATTTGACTATGTTTTTATTGGATGTAATTATCAAGGACATAAGTTTTGGGCAGCAAAAATAAATCAGTAAAACTAAATAAGTTTTCTGGTTTCGTTAATAGGTATCCATGGTTTTGTGAAAGGGTAAACACCTAACAAAATATGTCTAGGTACGTACCTACCTACAACAGACGATAACAAAAATTGTCACGCCTTGGTTTCACAGAAAATTTCCGAAAATCCGCTATAGTTTTGTGGAAATCAGTTAATTCGTTCTTTATATTGTCTAGTTAAAGTACAGGTAAAACGACCTTTGAATAAAAATCGATACAACAAGGGCGTCCGGCATGGCACCCTAGAAAATGTTACGAAAATCTGGTACAGTTACGGACGCCGAAACAAAATCGCATCAAAACTGGTTCAAATAAAAAGAAATTGATCGATAGAACAAGAGAAAAATCACGAATTTTAAGTACAAGCAGGGAAAATGATATCATTCTTCGTAGGTAGGTAGTGAAACCAATTAGGTAAAAACGTTAAAATCTATCATAACAATAGAAGAAAATTCCTTAAAAAATCAAGATTACGGAATTACAAATATTACTCACCATTTTAACTTGAGTTTTGTTTAACTTAACGCAGAATTAATTTTACAAATTAATTCAGGCGACGTTCAGCGCGACCGGTAAAGAGGCTTGCCAAACAAATAATTCGGATAAAAATCCGTTAGGCGTCTTTTTATACCAAGGGTGTCAAGGGGGAAGTGACGCATCGCACGGACAGTTCTGATTGGTTAATACGACTGCCGCATGGGCGGACCAGCCAATGAGGTCAAAGCTGTATTATGTCACCATTGCGGGAAGAAGTGGGTGATTCATTCAACTTTAGGGTTGTTCAAACGAGTGATTATCGATAAACAAAAATCAATAAAGTAAAATACACTATTGAAAAATATTACTGAATATAATTGTGTCACTGAATAAATACAATATTATAATACCGGATTTTAATTTTATTAGACTAATGTTTTTGCAAATATTGTACTGTGAATACTAATACTTCTGGTGTTATTACGTATGATGTACTTAAATACACTGTCATACATATATCTTGGTGGGGTAAATCGTTACCTTTCATCCGTGGTAACTACCAACCTTCACTTACTACAACCTGAACTGTATCCGTACTTTCAATATTTAGTGCTATACCTATCCTGTGTTTATATTTAAATTTTATTAATAACTAACTTCAGAGAAAAATATACAAATTGAGAAATAACGTAAGAACAGTTTATAATTAGACACAGTCTCGTTAGTGTTGTTTTTAGAAAGAAAAAAAAATAGTTTATAATTGTAAAAATGAAATAATCTTAGAATAAAACTCAAAATAAAACAATTACAATGAAAACGTTATCAAAATGAACTCCACTCAGCAAAAATATGTGCAAATAAAAAGTAAATATTGAATATAACTGGGTATATTGCCAAAACATTTTTTTACGATATCAGGTGACGGGTCGAACAAGTCGTGCACCTGAACCATCAGGCTTACCTTGCTACGTGCCTGTCCATAACAGTTGTAGTACCACTCAGAGCTTTAAATTGCAAAGATCTGAGGGGCACTGCCACTGCGCCTGTCGCCCTGAGACGTAAGTTGACAGGTCCCATGTGCATGTAATTTCACCAGCACTTTTACCCTTAAAAACCGGACCACGGTAATGCTATCATTACTGTTTGGCGGCAGAAATAGGTAAGGTTACTAACCTGGATAAATTCTTTCACAATGAGCTCTACTGCTAACAAAGACAGTATTTGGTTTTATGTGCGGTGCGTTATTATTATAATAGCTATCGACAAATTAGTATCGATAGGGACATCTCTAAAAAGTTAGCTATTATTTTACATTTTCATTTCTCACACACATACACACACCATGTCTGGCGCCGTTTGGGTAATTTTTCAGTAATTTACAGAGTTTGACCTGAAATTTAATGCTGTAATATATGGGTTTTGTTGTAATTATCACCTATCATTACGAATATATGTAGTTTGTTTGCCTTTATTTTTCATTTTAGGGCCTAGCGTTACTTCACTCACACAAATACAATGAAAAATGTTTTCAGTACCATTTATGGCAAGTCCCGTGGCTCTCAATCTTGAATAATTCTAATTATAAAGTATATCATAAACACGGCATCGGCCAGTGGCATCGGTCAGAATAAGTAAAACGGTATTATAGAATGTTGCAAACCGTAAACAAAAATCTAATTACTCCAACTAATCACTTCACCATGCCGAAGTTTCATTCAATAATAGCTTAAAAAACATACCTAAATTAGTAAAACGTAATTCGTTATGATTTAATGCAACAAAAAAATCACAAATATAGCTAAAAGTTTATTAACTAACTCAAAAAACAATATCAAACAGGTCCCATGTAAGTGTCAAAGGACAACTTACGTAATCCTAGGTCCGTGTGTGGTACAGTGATTCTTCTTCTTCTTTTAAATGTTATGGCCCCATCGAAATAATCAATGATTTTGCCAATGTCAAGTAAAAATAACTATGTACGGTAGTTTAGTATTATTATAAAAATTATACAAAAAGTTAAGCTGTTAAGCGGTACAGTGATTACTGTATTTGAACGAGATACACAATAATTTTACATTTGAATTTGGTTTACTAATTTTTGAGAGCCACTGGTCATCAATGGCATCCCACATTTAAATAAGAGACATCTATTGAGCAGAGTTTGTACTGCTTTGTTCAATACGTAACCATCTGCCGAGTAACAATCAACAGTCGGTTCGGTTCCTTTTGCAGCGCCATCTATTAAGTTGCTGTTAAAAACATTGCCTGAGTAAAAGTGGTAATACAAAATATTTTGATAATTAGATTTTTGTCATCTTTATTAAAAGCAGGTATTGTTTTCAGATTCACTATGTACTTTAATCATAGGATAAATGATTATTAACATAATATTTCTAGTCGTAACTATATATTGCCTGCTCTAATATATGATAGTGAGAAAGAGATGTCCATACATCGGATGTTTCAAAATACGAAATGTGATATTTCCGTTCCGTTTTCCCGCGCTACACGCTTCGTTCAAGTTCGTGCCAAATCATTCCGCGCGCGAACGTATTTGAAACAACTGCGCCACGAAACGAAAATTCGAATTTTAAAAAGAAAGTAAAAGTAAATATTTATCAAAAACTTTATTGTGTGTTTCTGTGAAAAACTAGTGACATTTATTGTGTAGTGTTGTGCTGAAGTAATAGTTTTTGTTCAGGATAATTTTTAATAAACGGTAAGTAAAAAAGTCGCAAGTTTTCATATTCCTATTTTACGATTTATTGCTTTATTATTTAAGCGAATATAGAGGATAGATTTTTATTGGAATAACTTCATAGAAACCTAACGTGACCTTTTAAGCGTCTTTTAAGGCTGTGTCTCCGTTATACGACCAGATGCGACAGATATGGACTGTTTCCAGATGCCTAGGTCTAGGATCTGCCTTGAGGCTGAATAGATGGTCGTATGTTATAAGTGTACTACTTGTTACATATCTAGATGGTATTGACTGTCAAGTTTTGTTATGTTAAAGTAATTGTTGAATCTATAATTATAGATTTGATGTGTGAAGCTATTTGAGTAATTACGTGTAATGGGCTTTGTATTCGTAAATAAATAGTTATCTGTTGTCTTAATTTGTAAATGTATTATTGTGAACTGGAAATACCTATTAACGAAGCCTAGTGCTTATCTTTAGATTATAAAATTGATGATAATTTTATTTAAATATCTGTTTTTATTGAATGAAGTTTTATGAATAGTATACAAATAGGTGTTCTAAAACAATGAATTTTTTTTTCTTTGTTTTTATTCTCTTGTTTGTTTAACATATAGTGCAAAATTCAATGTTACTTTGTTTTAACGCCATGGGAAACGTTTAAACGGTTCAGGATATTTTTTTACAATAATTACAAACAATTTCTACTACTGACAACATCAATTTGATGATATAGGGATGTTAAGTTCCCAACACCCTTCCTGCCTTTTAATTAAAGAACATTATTATAATATGACGTTTGTAATTCTTTATCATGTATTTACTCAATAAAATACGAAATATAAGAACATAAAAATTTATGAATGAAAAAACCAATTAAGCATTGATCGCCCACAGAGACCACCTCTTATGAATTCCTGTGGTCGGTCACCCACGCCACAAGCCACAGCTGTTGACAAAATGTGGGTTGGAGTGGAAGGTTGCGATTAGGGTCCCGTATACGCTCATAAAAAAAGGGTCATCACGTAACACGTTCTTTAGGTAGTATAAACAATGTTACCCAGTATTTTTCCTTACTTAATGGCAGGAGACAGTTGTTTGTCTATCCAAATTCTTGTCAATGGCTTTTAAAATCTATATATCGCCGGGAAAAGTGCAATTACGCGTAACTAGCATTTGACCATGTAATTTAATGTCCAAATCAAATCCGCGTATGTCATGGCTACTAAATTAGCTTGATTGACGGGAATCTATTGTTATCAGTCCGTAGATAACATAAATTAATGCTTACTGTGCAAAAATGAAAGTTGTAATCATTGAAATAACAAAGTAATAACGTGAAATCGCTTTCCTGTAAAAAATTGGTTTGTGCAGATACGCGCCCTTTACCAATGCTATCCCCGACGATATTATTGTTTTTTTTAATAAGTTTTCACTCATTTATTTGGGTAGGCAAAGGTTCAATCTATGGTTCTACCATATAGTCTCTTAGATAAATTGGTTGGTAAAACGCGCGGGAAAAATTTGCCTAAAGGACTAATGTCACTTTGGCATAACTTTATGCGTTTAATTAATTAATATAGAAAATTATAATATATAATTAGAAATTTAACTCAAGCGTTTACATCTCCGGAACATCTCCGGATATGAGACTAGTCGTCGGTTATAAATGAAGAAGCTGTTTCGTCTACTTCCGCATTTTGATAGTTGACTGAGCCAGAAATAATTATTAGCAAGTTAATGCGTTAGTATTCTCATAAGTAGGTTGGTGTGAATGTTTAGTATTGCCACATTAAAGTACTTTTTTCCTATATATTATGAAAATGCGATGGGAAGTGTAATTAAAATTACCGACGAATAGAACCACCTTCCAGGGTCCTAAAATAATTACACATTGATAACTTAACCAGGCAGCCTTCATACAGTTTTTATTCTTAAATAAATTAAATTACGACAGCTGTACTCGAGATAATAAATCCCGCGCGACATTATTCGGTCGGCAGCAGATTTACATAGTGCACAACTTGTACAAGGCAACCAAGAACCCAGTTCTCTTTAGCAAGGTGCATTCATTCATCAAAACAGGTGATATTTTGTTCCGTCGACTCTTTTAATGACATTAATTCAAGACCATATTTGACTTGCGTTCACTGTGATCTTGTTGCGAAATGGAAAACATTTATTCGATCTGAAGGGTTTCCATTGGCTCTCTTATTAGTTTTGTTGAAAATAATGGGCGTTAGTCATGTACACACAATTAATGAGTATTGCATGCAATTCAGAATGTGGCAATTATATAAGTAGTATATGATAATGTATTAAAAAAAACGTTCATTTGAAGAAATAAAATAAAAACCTATGATTCATGATGAAAGGATTTTTATTATACTTCAAAGTAGATTTGGCTTAGGACTGGTATTGTAATAAATAATAAATAAATCGACTCATCCGTAGAATAAAGACCTA